ACCGCTCCGCTCCTCCCTTGGCTCACACCAGCCCCTCCACGGCTACCCGGGGCGGGGCAGCCCCACAGTCCGCAGCTACTCTGGCAACACAGCCCCTTTACAAGGAGGGGCCGTTGCCATCGGCCCCCCTGCCCGCACCTGCGAGTCCTCCGGCCCCAGCCCACAGCTGGAGCCCAGCAGGAACAGGGGGACATCGCCCGACCCCCACCGTGCATCCCCTCCTCCCCTGGGCTCCATGACAGCCCCTCACCCAGTGCAAAGGAAGTGCAAACAGCCACGTGGGCAAAGGAGATGGCGAGTGTTTATTCAGTCACACACGTAACAAGCCCTGGGAGCAAGTCTGCTCCAGGACTTGGAGCCTCCAACACTCCCCCTGCCCCTGGGACACCTCAGCAGTCATTCCTGGGGCCGTGCTCGTTGGTCTGGCAGGGAATGGACAGTCGGCTGGTCAGCTCCTGGAGCAATGGAATGCTGGGCAGAGGCTACCAAAAATGAGGAGCAGGGTGCAGGACCCTAGAGAAGAAAAGCGGCAGCCTGTTGGACAGCGGGGCTGTAACGAGAAAGCATGAGGCAGGGAATGGGACGACGAGAGAAAGATTGGGACAAGGAGCCCGACAGATGGAGAAAGAAGCAACAGGGAGAGAGGAAGGGAGGCAGCAGAAAGAGGAAGAAAGTGTGGGAAAGAGAGGGGGCCAGGGGAGGGGCAGGGAGGGGCAGGATGCAGAAGAGGGGCAACAGGGCCCTGAGGGCTCAGGACTCACCGCAACTCTCGCTCTCGGCAGTGCCAGGAGAATTTGCCAGTTCAGACACTTCTTCCTCCTGCTCTGCTCCCTTCCTCTTCTCACTCCAGTCGCCTGGCTGTCCTCCACCTAAGAGAATATGTGGGTGTCTTACAGCTCTTATGAGACGAAGCTTCCTAGACATGTAGCCTTGCGCACTATGCACAGGAGTAGGACAGAGGGAAAGAGAGAGAAAATGATGAGCTGGGAGCAGAACAGATGGATAGGGAGAGAAACTGAATGAGAGGAATAAAGAAGCAGGAGGGAGAGAAAAAGATAGGGAACAAGCCAGAGGAATTGAGGGGAAAAAAGAGAGAGAGACGAGTCAGGATAAAGAGATGGAGAAAGAAAAAACAGTGACGGACTGCAGGATGAGAAAAAAGGCCAGGGAGCAGGACAGGGGATATAGCGAGACAGGCAGCAGTATGGAGATATAGACAAAAAGTTAGGGGGAAGATGGAAGACAGAGAGAATAAGAGAAAAGGGACAGGGAGCGGGGCAGAGATGGAGAAAGAAACATTCGAGGCAGAGAAAGAGGGACAGGTAAGACAACAG